GAGGAGGAGCTGGAGTCCTCCGCCTTGGTTCGCTTCTCAGGCACTGTATAGGGAAACTGCTGTGACTTCTCCTCGACGGCCTGCTTGAGGCGCAGCAGCGCCGTACGATTGATATTCTCTAGGGAGACATCCTTGATGGCATTGGCCAGCACTTCCAGTGCCTTGTCCGTATTGCCCTTGCTTGTCTGTATGTCTATCAAACATGAGTACGCATTGCCAATGGCGCCTTCGCTGATCTTGCTGCCGCGCAGCTGCGAGATCACCGTGGAGGCCAGCTTCTCGTCCTGCTGCTCGCGCGCCGTTTGCAGCACACGCTGGAACATCAGACGCGGCGCACTCGATAAATGCTTATCCCAGATCTGCTTGGAGGCCACCTCCTGGCCGTTCGATATCAGATGCATCCACAGCACGTTCATCGGGCCCAGCTGATTGTGGGCGGCGTATTTCTCAGCCAAAGCCTCGTCTGGCAAGGAATTACAGATTATTTACAGTTGATATCGATGACGAAGGATCTACTTACATTGAGCAATCAGTTCGGGATGCTTGTCCAGGATGCCGACGGCACCACCACGTGGGAACTTCTCGGCCAATTTGCCGGCCTCCTCCGATGACTTGACTGCTTCGATCTCGGTGCTCAGCTGCTTGAGGAACTGTTCCGCCTTTCCAGCCACAATGTAGGCGTGGCAATAGCGATTGTCAAAGGAAACGAGACGCTTCTGCTCATCATTGAGCTGCTGGCCAATGCGCTGCATCACCTCCAGATCGCCCGAGGAAGCAATTTTGTTCAGATAGAATTTAAAGATCTTTGGCTGTGGATGCTGCTTCTCAGCGAGTAGCTCCTCCACGTATTTGGTGGCCTCGCTTAAGCGATCGGCACGCACCAGCAGCTCGATTAGTCGCGATGTATCCAGCACATTGAACTTATCTCCGCTTAGGACGCGCTCCTTGAACGAAATTGCGGCATCCGGATCGTTGGCCTGAATGGCACGACGGAAGCCGGCAATGTTGGAGACAGGCTTGACTGCGGGCGCAGCCTTAGCTTTAGGTTCCACCTTCGGCTCTGGAGGGGATTGCACCACCTGCTCCGCCACCTTGGCTTCTGTTTTGGCTGGCTTGCTGCGCTTACTCTTCGGCTGCTGTGTTTCAGGCACCACGAAGGGCACCTCAATATTCTTGCGCTTGAGCAGTTCCGCAAGCTTGAGCAGGAAAGCATCCGTGGGCGTGACCCCCTCCTCCTGCATTTTAGTCCACAGACCGAGCGCCTTCTCAGTCTCGTCCGCCTTGTCGTAGCTGAGCAGCAGCGTGTAGTAGATCTTATTGCGGTCGATGTGGCCCAGATCCTTGGTCGCCTCAATGAGGCCCTCCAGCGGCTGCAGCATGCCCTCGTTCTTGTACCGGTCGCAGGCGTTGCTGATGCGCTGTGGCCGGGTGCGCAGTCCCGGTGTCTCCAAAATCTTTCTCGCCTGACGCACGCGTCCGCACTCGACGAAGGAGAACACCAGATCGTACAGGCTATTCACCTCACCGTGTATGCTCGTGCTCAGATCCGTGAGGCGTTGCAAATTGGCCGCATCCTCCTTCTGGATGAGCCGGCAGGCCAGCTCGTTCTTCCACGGCGTCGCCTTGTACTGCTGGCAGATCTGCTCGAAGGCATCAATGGCCTTGGGTATATCATCGCGCGACAAATGCACCTTGATCAACGGCCCCAGCAGCACATTCGTGGGCACCACATAGTTGCCCGCAACGAGGGCATCGAAGACCACCTTTAACCGCTCCGCATTGCCCGTCTCAGCGATGCTGTTGAGGATGCGCCACACTGTGCTCACATAGTTGAAGCTGCCCTCGCTGGCCTCAACGGCGACCTCCTTCTGGTTCTCCTTGAGCAGCTGCAGCGCCTCATCCACACGCTCCTCCTGCAGCAGCAAATCCGCCAGCCGCACGGTCTTATAATTGTCCAGCTTGAAATTGGCGTCCGCCGTGCGCAGCTTGGTGTACTGCGCCAGGGCGTCCGAGGTGCGCTTGTGGTGTGTATACAAATCGACGAGCTGGGCATAGATGCCAATGGGGATCTGGAATGCGTCTTTCTCGAGTCGCTCGATCACTTGCAACGTCTTCTCCAGGTTCTGCGAACGGAAGCAGGCGTTCAGCAGCTGGCGCTTTATGTTGTTCGAGTTCTCGCCCTTCGCTTCGACATTCTTGATGAAGCGTTCCAGTTCTAGAAACATTTAATATATAGAATTATAATAAATCTATTTCAATATCAGTCGCTGTAACTCACCGTCAATGGTTAAGGTGCCCAGGGAACGCTTTCCACTGTTGGGCAGTGGAATCGGTTCCAATTCGCCCGAGGTAAGCTTGCCCAGTTGCTCGTTAATCTTCGGGGTCATCTCAGAGCCGAGAAGCTCGGACAGCGCCGTCGCCTTGGCACTGCTCAGGGACAGACCCTGATTGACCAGGCCTTGCAATATCTTCTCCACAGTGAGCACGCGCTCGCGCCGGAAGTAGATTGCCGCATCATAGACAATTTGGCCCACCACATCGGGTGTCTGGCGCTCGGGAGTGGCTGGGGCTTCGGCATCAGTGGCTGCTTCTGGTGCTTCCTCGTTGGCCTCTCTGCTGGCGCGCAGCTGCAATCCCTCGTGCATCTGACGCACGCAACGTATGAAGGACGCAAAATCATTCGTGTGGGCCAGCGCCAGGATGAGCGGCTGACGGAAGATCAGAGGCATATAGTAGGCACGATTCTGTTCCATAATCTTGGCAGCATCCGCTATCTGATGGGTGGTCAGGGCTGCGTAGACAGCGGACGAAACGGCTGTGGAATTGGGTACACCCGCATCCCGGAGCACGGTGACCACACGATCCCAGTTCTTCTCCTTCAGATTGGGTATGATATAGTCTCGCACCGTTTCGGAATTGGGATTCAATGCGAAATCCTGCTGCATGCGACGCACTACGTCCAGCACCTGGTTGGAGTCCACGGAGCAAAACAATGGCCAGAAATAATGCTGACGTATGGGCAGACCCAGATTCTTCATCTCGTGCAGCAGGGGAAGCGCATTGTTCATCACGCCATTCGTCAGACCCGCCTCAGTGGCAATGGTCAGCGCCTTCGGATTCAAGCCCTCCGACTGGAGAGTGCGACAAATGCTCAGGATCTTCTCCACAGGCCGATTGGCCTTCACCAGCTGGCGTATGAAGAAGGCACCCACATCAGTTGGTTCCCCGTTGACGCGGGAGCTGCGCGGCATCAGTCGGAGGAGCTTCAGAGCCACATCCTCCTGGCCCTTGTTAACCAGACGCAATATAATGTTGACCGCATCCTGATTGAAACCGGGGGATATGCGCAGCTTCGACAGCACTGCGTCCACATGCTCGCCATTTCCATGCACCGCCAGCGTGTAGGCTATGTCCAGCAAATCTTTGTCCAGCAGAATTATCTCCTTTGGCTCGCACTCGGCGAGCGTCGATTGCAGTGCTTCAATATCGCCGTGGCGCGCGAAGGCGCACAGGAGCGTCGTATAGGTGTCGGCAGTGGGCTCCAACCCAGCCTGCTTCATCACGCCTAGAATGCCCTTAGCGGACTCCAGATCGTTGGCCTAACAAACAATAAATAATGAAAGGATTCAGTTGAGACTAGCTACTAAAAATAGCAGGGATGAACTCACCTGTGAATGTCCCAGTATGAGGGAGTTGAAGACATTTTCGTTCACCGGCAAATTCTTGCCGCGCATATAC